ATTCAATGCGAACATCCAACTTGTGACCGCATTCTATATGACCATCAATCTTGTAACCGCATTCAATGTGACCCATCCAACCTTGTGACCCCATTCCATGTGATCCATCCAACCCTGTGACCCCATTCAATGTGACCCATCCAACCTTGTGACCCCATTCAATGTGACCCATCCAACTTGTGACCGCATTCAATGTGACCAATCCAACCTTTTGACTCATTCAATGTGACCCATCCAACCTTGTGTCCCCATTCCAACCATGTGACCGCATTTATATGATCCATCCAACTTTGTGACCCATCCAACCTTGTGACCCCATTCTATATGACCCACCCAACCTTGTGACCGCATTCATTGTGTCCCATCCAACCTTGTGACCCCATTCAGTGTGACCCATTCCAACCTTGTGACCGCATTCTATATGACCCATCCAACCTTGTGACCGCATTAAATGTGTCCCATCCAACCTTGTGACCGCATTCAATGTGACCCATCCAACCTTGTGACCGCATTCTATATGACCCATTCAACCTTGTGACCCCATTCATTGTGACCCATCCAACCTTGTGACCCATTCAATGTGACCCATCCAACCTTGTGACCCCATTCAGTGTGACCCAATCAACCAGTGTACGACCTCATCCTACCCTGTGTGACCGCATTCTATATGACCCATCCAACCTTGTTACCCCATTCAATGTGACCAATCCAACCTTATAACCCCATTCAATGTGACCCATCCAACCTTGTGACCACATTCAATGTGACTCATCCAACCTTGTGACGCCATTCAATGTGACCCATCCAACCTTGTAACCCCATTCAATGTGACCCATCCAACATTGTGACCCCATTCAATGTGATCCATCCAACCCTGTGACCCCATTCAATGTGACCCATCCAACCTTGTGACCCCATTCAATGTGACTCATCCAACCTTGTGACCCATTCAATGTGACCCATCCAACCTTGTGACCCCATTCAGTGTGACCCAATCAACCAGTGTACGACCTCATCCTACCCTGTGTGACCCCATTCAATGTGACCAATCCAACCTTGTAACCCCATTCAATGTGACCCATCCAACCTTGTGACCACATTCAATGTGACCCATCCAACCTTGTGACCGCATTTTATATGACCCATCCAACCTTGTAACCCCATTCAATGTGACCATCCAACCTTGTGACGCCATTCAATGTGACCCATCCAACCTTGTAACCCCATTCAATGTGACCCATCCAACATTGTGACCCCATTCAATGTGATCCATCCAACCCTGTGACCCCATTCAATGTGACCCATCCAACCTTGTGACCCCATTCAATGTGACCCATCCAACCTTGTGACCTCATTCAATGTGACCCATCCAACCTTGTAACCCCATTCAGTGTGACCCATCCAACCTTGTGACGCCATTCAATGTGACCCATCCAACCTTGTAACCCCATTCAATGTGACCCATCCAACTTTGTGACCCCATTCAATGTGATCCATCCAACCCTGTGACCGCATTCAATGTGACCCATCCAACCTTGTGACCGCATTCAATGTGACCCATCCAACCTTGTGATCGCATTCAATGTGACCCATCCAACCTTTTGACCTCATTCAATGTGACCCACCCAACCTTCTGACCGCATTTTATATGACCCATCCAACTTGTGTCCCCATTCAATGTGCCCCATTCCAACCATGTGACCGCATTCTATATGACCCATCCAACTTTGTGACCCATCCAACCTTGTGACCGCATTCTATATGACCCATCCATCCTTGTGACCGCATTCATTGTGTCCCATCCAACCTTGTGACCCCATTCAATGTGACCAATTCCAACCATGTGACCGCATTTTATATGACCCATCCAACTTTGTGACCCATCCAACCTTGTGACCGCATTCTATATGACCCATCCAACCTTGTGACCGCATTCAATGTGTCCCATCCAACCTTCTGTCCCCATTCAATGTGCCCCATTCCAACTATGTGACCGCATTCTATATGACCCATCCAAATTTGTGACCCATCCAACTTTGTAACCCCATTCAATGTGACCCATCCAACCTTGTGACCGCATTCAATGTGACACATCCAACCTTGTGACCGCATTTTATATGACCCATCCAACCTTTTAACCCCATTCAATGTGACCCATCCAACCTTGTAACCCCATTCAATGTGACCCATCCAAACTTGTGACCCC